ATAAAGTGATTATAAACAGTGGAATCATGTGTATGCAATAAAATTATGATCAATATTGCCAGTTCAAAATTAGATAAATTGCTCACAAACTGAATTTTACAAAAAAAAATTCAGGGTTTGATCATCTTATTTACAGTTGAAAGTGACATCATTTGTTATCATTAGAGCAATGARTTGATCATTTTAAGGTTTTGTATGGGAACACAGATTTCTAATGCTCTTCTTCTGTAATCATAACTTTTATTTTAGTCTGATCAAAGAAAACATTTAAAAAAAATCAGCATTGTTTCAGGGTCTCTCTGGCAGATGACTCTTCCCACAATATTCATAGAAATATCCAATATTTTTGAAGATGGAACATATTTATCATTTATTCGAATTATTTAAAAAATGCTATATTTAGTTGTTAATGTCATCAAATGTCATATATCTATATTTTAAATAGAAATAGCTGCTAATCAGATATGTGTCTGGAGTTTGATTCTTACCTTTTTGTCTTGATGCTGCGAGACAAAGTGATGAAGACGCGAACAAACTGGAATATTTATCCCCTCCCTTTTCTTTCCCCCCTCTTCACTATCCCAACAGGACTTAAATAGAAACACAAACAGACACACACTCCATGAGTGGCTCGTGTTGTGTTGACACATCACTGCTGTTCTGTTCTCCATGATAATATGTGAAATCCTCTTCAACACAATAAAAATGAGCAACTTTGTCTCCTAACGTCACTTGAACAGTTTTCGCCTCGGATCAGTTGTTTCCTTCAAAAAAATAAATTGATCAGATATGATCACAGATGATCTGGGAATGTTGTTTTCCCACTGAAATGCAATGCAGAGTCACTTTTTTAAAGATTACTTTTCGACCTGTCCACCCGCCCACCCTCGAGATTAAATGCCCCCAACGAACCCCCAGTCTGTTTCCCCATAATGACTGCAGACAACACTAAGCTGTGGTTTTAATGAAGGAATGCAGTTTCCAGCCTGCATATGTTCAACAACTCACAACTAAAATTAGACAAATTACAGCACCATATGATGCTGCCAGTCTGCTCTTTGTGCTCTTTCTGCTTCCTTTTGTGTCCAGTTTGAACACATTTTTTAGAGATGGGTTTCCATGAAAAAAAGAAAAAAATAGGTAAAAAAAGTTGTTTTATGTGACTCTCTAAGTCAGTAAATAACTGATGCAGAAAGATCCATGTTTACTTATATGTGCAAGATTATGAAAACCACCCAAAATGTAAATAAATAAATAAATAAATAAATAAAACACCAGACAATACATTTCTAATATTCATGATTAATGTATATTTTAATTAAAAAAATAAAAAAATAAAATAAAATAAAATAAAATAAAATAAAATAAAATAAAATAAACATTTGTGATCCTGAAGTGCCAAAAAATAAGTTTTGGCCTTCTTTGTTTTGCCACCTACACAGACTGCAGCCAGCCTAATTTAGGTCAACAATGTGACTCTTGTTGTTTTAGCTAAGGGCTTTGTTTACATGGAGTGAGGACCTGCATTTCAGAGTTGCACTAAATATATCTTGAAATACAGAGCTGTACAGTAACTTTGTTACTCTACTTAGGTGGAAATTTTGGTTATCTGTACTTTAYTTTAATAACTATTTTTCAGCCGACGTTTTACTTCTACTCCTTATACTGCATTTTTACACAATTATCTGTACTTTCTACTCCTTAGATTTTTGAAAAGGTAAGAAGTAGAAAGTCATTACTCCTATTTCATTCTAGCTCGTTATTATAAAAAAATACTATCCTGATAAACTGTGCCTCCTGGATAGACTGAATTTAATTATAGTTGGCTGGGATGTATAAATACTGTAGTTTGTGCACAATCCATCCAAGTCAACTCACAATAAAGAAAATCGAACTGCTCTACTTAATACTTTTACTTTTAATACTTAAGTACATTTCACGTCAGATATTTACTTTTGAAACTAAAGTACAAAAAAAATCAGATACTTTTTTTTTACTCAAGTAATATTCTTAGAGGAGACTTTAACTTTTACCAAAGTATTTTTAATAAAAAAATACTATCCTGATAAACTGTGCCTCC